TGGGCTTTTGATCTTAACCACCTCAAAAGTTAACTTCTCAGCCCTGGAATCATATTCATACCCAAAGGCTACTTCCAGTTTAATCTTACCAACTAGGTATGCCGACTTGCCAGGTACAACACCGTGAAAAACGGTGTTGGATTGCTTAAGACTTTTATCAGTCAATCCCATCCGACGGAACGTCTCATAGTAGAGGATGTTGATGCTACTGCCTCCATCCATGAGCACTTTAGTGAATTTATATCCACCAACCTGATGTGCCACTACCAAGGCTAAGTGACCCGGATTATCAACCCGGGGAGGATGATCTTCTCTGCTCCACACAATAGGCTGTTCTGACCACCTTAAATAACGTGGAATCGCCGGCTCAATGGCATTGACCGCCCTCTTATGAAGCTTATGGTCCCTCTTGCATAAACTAGTGGTAAATACATGGTATTGCCCATTATTCAACTGTTTTGGGTTGCTCTGATATCCGGACTGTTGCTGCTGATTACCTTGACCGAGTTGTGGATTATAACCTCCCTGGTTACCCGTATGGCCCCGACCGTGAAAACCGCCTCCACCTGAACCGGCGCCCGGGCCATGAAAGCCGCCTCTGCCTGAACCGCCGCCAGGCCCGTGACTTCCATCAAATGTGTTTGAATTTTTAAAAGCCTTCATGATTGTACAGTCCTTCCACAGATGGGTGGCTGGCTTCTCTCGGGTGCCGTGTCTTAGGCAAGGTTCATTCAATAGTTGCTCGAGGATGGGACCTGATCCGCCTGACCGAGGGGGTTTCCTACCCTTGCGCCGTTGATTGTTGCCCTATGCATTGGTGTTAGCCACAAATTCGTCAGCCTTACATTTATTACCTCCTTGATCTGGCGGGTTATGCTGGTGACCCTTGCCGTTGCCGTTCTTCTTTCCCTTCCCTAATTTTTCTTCATCAGACATGGGATCCTTGGTACTGTCAGAATCAGCATACTTGACCAGAGCCGTCATCAACTGGCCCATGTCATTGCAGTCATGCTTGAGCCGCCCCAGCTTCTGCTTCAGAGGTTCAAAACGGCAATTTTTCTCCAACATTAAGACTGCCGAGCCAGCATCCATCATATCAGATGAATGTATTATCTCCTTGACCCGGCGCACCCAATGGGTTGTGGGTTGCTTACATGTGTCTTTGAAGTTCTGAATGAACCGGGCCTTCAACTCCGCCCATGAGCCTATGGAATTGGGTGGCAATCCTTTCAACCAAGTGTGAGCCGTTCCATCCAACATCGTGGTGAAGTACTTAGCCATTCCTGCATCGATGACCTCTAACAGCTCCATTGCCATCTCGTAACTCTCAATCCATGCCCCAGGCTGCAAATCGGCCGTGTAGTTAGGCACTTTACGAGGCCCCTTAAAGTCTTTAGGTAAGCGCTCATTACGTATAGCCGACACCAGGCAAGGAACACCTCCTGTCCTTGTGGCTACTCCTGCCTCAACAGAGGTTGCTGGATAAGCCGGAAAAGTTTGATGAGCCGCCCGCTCAGCTGCCAGTTGAACCGCCCGTGCAGCCTCTTGTCGGATCCTCTCCTAATCCGCTAAGTTAAGGGCTCCAGCCTGCACCGGCTCATGCCTGCGCGGTTGGTTACGGCGTTGAGCGTTGCTTGACATATCAGCTGAGTCCATATGCCTGCTATAGCTCGGGCTCCAACTTGGGCGAGGGGTTGAATGAATTCTGTCTCGACTGTAAGAGTACGCATCCTGCTGCGCTAGAGCCGTCTGAAGAAGTACTCTCACCCTTCATGTTTTGATTGCTGTCGAAGAGTCTCCTTCCATCGGGAGAGCCGCCAAACAAGCCGACGCAGCAATGAGGTTTTCCAAAGGATTGGAGAAGTGACCCAGTGGTGTTGGCGCATAATGAGGCAGAGCGGTATACACGCGAGGTGGTTCCATGGCCCGCGGCTGAACCGGTGCTCCGGGTGTCGTGATCCGATTTGCCTCCGGCGGGTTACTTGGACCGGCCCCGGGTGTATGGAAAAGGTTCCTAGGATCGAGCATTAGAGGTAGACGTGACTGAGTTTTCTGATGCCTTCTCCTCATGACCTCATTTGACGCATTCAGATCCACCGAGAGCCGGAAGGTCTCCGCTTGAAGCTGCTGAGCACGAGCGTCCAAAGCCGCCCGCTCCGCGGCCATCCTGACCTCTTCTGCTGCTAAATTTTCCTTGGCCCATGCCATCTCTTCACATACCCGTACCACCTCCGCGTCATGCTGAGCTTTATCCGCCGGCTCTACCACGTCAGTCAACAGAGCCGTCAGCTTATCCGTGAGGTTCATTAGCATCTGAGCCGGGGGGCGCGTGGGGTCTCCTGACTCGGCCGCTGCCGACCTGGTGGTTGTTGCTGCTGCAGCCGTGGAGTTCTGCCCGAGCTGAGTGCCTGCCATGAAGACTCCGGCTCGATTCGACGGCTCAAAGGGGTCCGGAATACTGCTGCCATCGGAACAGCCCCCAAGCATGCCATCCTATAGCTGATACAAAGAATCCGTCTCGCCTATTGATGACGTGGTGTCAGAACAGATGGCCGTCTCCCTGCCATCCATTGATCCTTCCAAGTATTCACCTCCATAGATGCAACCCACAAAGGCATGCTTTACGGCGGGTCGGGCCCGGGCGGGTCTCGCGCGCTGAGCCGTCTCGATGATGTTGGTGCACACGTCCGGCTTAGGGCCCGATTCGCCGATCCGGCCGATGAAGACATGAATCCCGCCGAAGGGGACCCGGTACCCATACTCAATTGAGCCGGCCTCGGGGCCCCAGCCTTCGTCGTCGATGTAGAGCTTGCCGCGACGACTCTTGGTCATCCGGCCCACAACGTATCCCTTGAGCCCTTCGAAGTTGCCCTTCAAGAACTCAAATCCACCGTGCGCTGGCCCCACGGTGGGCGCCAACTGTCGTGGAATTGTCACGACAGATGTCCTAGCGAAAGGACTTAGTCATAGGGCCATCGCAACTAGGAAGCTTAAAGGGGTTAATCGGGACAAAAGACACGAGAGGTTTTATACTAGTTCGCCCCCTTACGATGAAGGTAAAAGCCTACGTCTAGTTGTGTTTGGAATTGCTAGGGTTTCGAAGACCAGGGAGCGAATATGCCTGTCCTGGCCTCGAGTTGTTGTCTCTTGTTTCTTGACCTAAGCCGCTGCTGGGTCGTCCCCTTATATACATGGGTTGACGCCTGGTGGCCTACAGAGTCCCGACCGGCTTATAAAACGTGTCCGGCTCGGTGACTTCTTTTACATGACTTTCTTTACAAGTCTTTCCTTATAATGGCGGTTTACAATATTGGGCCTTAAGCCGCCTCTGGGCTTAGGCCTTCTATAAGTCTTAATAAACTATCGCCTTGAATGTTACTGTGCTTCTTTTGTAACCTGTCATTGGGGTTGACCCGGCCCCTCCTGGGCGGGTCATACCTGTTAGCTATATCACCAACAGCTACGGCAAGTTAAAGTTCACCATGCCCAAGTTCAATGGAAGCATTGATCCCAAAGAGTACCTTTCATGGGCATTGAAGGTCGACAAAATCTTCCATTTGCACAACTATGAAGAAGAGAAGAAGATCACGATGGCATCCCTTGAGTTTTCCAAGACTATGTCCTCATTTGGTGGGAACAAGTTATTGAGCGTCGAGAGGCAAAGGGTGAACCACCCGTCACTACTTGGGCGCAAATGAAGGATGTAATGAGAGCACACTTCATGCCAACCTACTACAACCGCGACCTTTTCAAGAAACTCCAACTCCTCAAGCAAGGAACCAAGAGCGTTGAAGAATATTATAAGGAAATGGAGATTGCAATGATACGAGCCAATGTCACGAAAGATGACGAGAAAACTATGGCATGTTTCGTGAATGGACTCAATCACCCTATCAAGAAGATCGCCGACTTCCAACCTTACTCGAATCTCATCGAGCTAGTGCATCAATGTAACGCCCCGAGACCGTTGCGCCAGGTGTCTTTCAGTTATTCGCTGTTGTTGCCTTGTCATTTGCTTGTGTGTCGCATCTTGCCATGTAATCATGTGCATTGCATCATCATGTTTTAAAAACTTGCATTCGTCTGGGTCTCTCAGTTCTTTCCGTTGTCCGTTCTAAGACCAGACACACTTGCACGCGCCCGCGGCATGTCCGAAATAGTATTTTATAAGTGGTCGGAAAATGTTCTAGGAATGGGTTGAAAGTTGGTGTGCGGTCTTATTATAGTGTAGATAGAACGCCTGTCAAATTCCATCGCATTCGGAGTCCGTTTGATGCCCCAACAGATAAATATAGCGGCAATAGTAGCCGGTCTATCGTCGGACGTTTTCGGTTTCCGGAAACGGTTGCGGGTTGGATTCCTCCCCTCTCTTCTCAGTCCAACCACACACTTGACCTCGTTCGCCTAACCCCTCTTTGCATAGTGCATCGAACCCCCGCGCGTGTCCGAAACTTACCCGAACCCGACCCGGGTTGTCGTTACCGATGGATCCGAATCATCCCCAAACATCCCTAAAATATCTCCTTTTTTTATTTGGACTCTCCCTACCTATTTATTTCTTGATCGTCCGATTTTGATCGGATGATCCAACTTTCCTCTTTTCCCGTATATATATAGTCTACCCCTAGTCTATTTTGGACCTAACCCTATTCCCTAGGGATCCTCCCCAGCCGCCGCCACTACACTCCATCCCATCACCCAGATCCGTCGCCACCTCCTCTGTTTCTGTGCCTAACCAATCCCGCAGCGCCCCTTAGCAGCTCACGCACGAACCCACTCCTCCTCTGCTCGATCCCGAGGGGATCACGAGCAGCTCGCCACCGGCTGCCAACAGCAGCACCGCCAGGACCCATCGCTCCTCCCCCTCTTCTTCTCCTCCGTCCCTCCTCCCTCTCTATCTCTCCCTTGTCTCTCATACCTCTCCCTCTCTGTACCAGGGGAACCCAAGACCCTGCCATGGATGCCCGACGAAGCTCGCCTCACCACCAGATCGAGTGGTTCTACGCCTCTTCGACCTCGGTTTTGCCCCGTCTTCGGCAAGATCCGATGAGCCGCGACGAATCCAACCTCCTCCCATTCCCCCGCTTCGGATCTGGTGCTCCACACCTCCTTCCTTGCGCATGCGGCCTACCGCTCATCACTGTGGCTGCAACAAGTTCAAGCGCCGCCACCCGGTGCTGTTCATTGAGCCGCCCCGCGCTCCTAGTACCAGGAACCGGCTCCTCGTCGTCAAGACCTCCCGGATCCGTCCGTCTGCCGCCCAAGGCCTCGCCGGAGTCCCACGACTCGTCCGCACCAAGTTCCACTTCCGCCTGCCCTGATCCTCTGCACGAGGACCAGCGCCTCGTCCCGCTCGCACACGAGTTGACCGCATCGCCTCTGCGTCGTCCTCAACGCCCGCTGGAGCCGAGGGCGTCGCCTCAGTCTCCGCCTTGCCAAGCTCCTCTCGCCGCCGAAGTCTGCCAACACCCTCCGGCCTCCACCACAAGTTCTACGCTGCGGCGGCTTTGCTTCCTGTCGAACAGAGGGTCGCCTCGCAACCGCTGCCTCACTCACCCGTTTTGACCCCGTCCCAGCGCCAGTGGACCGGTCAACTCCATCCTTGGGCTATCCCTTCTCTTCCTCGTTCGGCCCAGCCAGAGCTGGCCGCTGGGTGAGCAGCCCCCTGGCCTTTCCTCTGTTGGGCTAGCCAGATGCGGGCCATATCGTTTTTCCCCTACATGCGATTTTAGCTTTTTTCCAGTAAAAGCAGTTTTGTAGAAAAACCCATGTTGACCATGCATATAATAACTTAATAACCATGCATCAGATCAAAATGTTTTATATATGAAAGATGCTTAGATTTTCGTCTAGTTTCATAATATGCAACTTTCATCCATGTTTAAAATGATGTTTGTGTTTATTTTGCTTAATTGCCATGTTAAAATGATTTATTTCATAACTAAATAACCGTAGCTCCAATTTTAATAAACTTTATATGTAAATGGGGCAGAAAAATGCATATATTAACTTGGTGGCATTACTTTGCATGTCTAACAACTCTAAAATATGGTTTAGGGAAGAACAGTGCCAACTTTTAAAATATGCACATGAGGATTTTTCCGGACTTGTTGCTTGTTGTTCCGGCCTCATTTAAACTTGCCTAGATAGGTAGTTTTATCATGCTTCACCTCTTGCCATGTTTAATAACATTTAACCTTGTTGGGTACATAAATGGGAGAGAACTAAATAAGTCATGTGGCATTTCGTCAATATGCAAGTCGTTGCATATTGAGCTACAATTAACTTGTAGTTTTGCTTGTGCACTTTGCCATGCCATGTTTCATTAAACCGGACATGCATCATACTTGTTTGCTTATCATGCCATGCTTATGTGATGTTTGTTTACTATGTTGTTTGCTTCTTTCCGGGTTGCTTCTCGCGTTAGCTTCGGTTTGTTTCCGGAGTTGTGAGGATTCGTTCGACTACGTCCGTTTGTCTTCTTTATGGACTTGTTCTTCTTCTTTGCGGATTTCAGGCAAGATGACCATACCCTCGAAATCACTTCTATCTTTGCTTGCTAGTTGTTCGTTCTATCGCTATGTCGCGCTACCTACCACTTGTTATATCATGCCTCCCATATTGCCATGTGAAGCCTCTAACCCACCTTCCTAGCAAACCATTGTTTGGCTATGTTACCGCTTTTTCTCAACCCCTCTTATAGCGTTGCTAGTTGCAGGTGAAGTTGAAGTTTGTTCCATGTTGGAACATGGATATGTTGGATATCACAATATCTCTTATTTTAATTAATGCATCTATATACTTGGTAAAGGGTGGAAGGCTCGGCCTTATGCCTGGTGTTTTGTTCCACTCTTGCCGCCCTAGTTTCCATCATATCGGTGTTATGTTCCTTGATTTTGTGTTCCTCACGCCGTTGGGTGTTATGGGAACCCCTTGACAGTTAGCTTTGAATAAAACTCCTCCAGCAAGGCCCAACCTTGGTTTTACATTTTCCTAACAACCTATTACCCTTTCTTTGGGTCGGCCAACCCGAGGGTCATCTTTATTTAACCCCCCCGGGCCAATGCTTCTCTAAGTGTTGGTCCGAACCGAGTAGACTATGGGGCCACCTCAGGGAAACTTGAGGTTTGGTTTTACTCATAGGATGTCTCATCCGGTGTTGCCCTGAGAATGAGATATGTGCAGCTCCTATCGGGATTGTCGTCACATCGGGCGGCTTTGCTGGTCTTGTTTTACTATTGTCGAAATGTCTTGTAACCGGGATTCCGAGATTGATCGGGTCTTTCCGGGAGAAGAAATATCCTTCGTTGGCCGTGAGAGCTTGTGATGGCCTAAGTTGGGACACCCCTGTAGGGTTTAAACTTTTGAAAGTCGTGCCCGCGGTTATGTGGCAGATGGGAATTTGTTAATATCCGGTTGTAGAGAACTTGACACTTAACTTAATTAAAATGAATCAACCGCGTGTGTTGCCATGATGGTCTCTTTTCGCCGGAGTCCGGGAAGTGAAGACGATCTTGTGTTATGGTTGTGCGTAAGTAGTTTCAGGATCACTTCTTGATCACTTCCATCTTCTCGACCGCTGCGTTGCTTCTCTTCTCGCTCTTATTTGTGTATGTTAGCCACCATATATTCTTAGTGCTTGCTGCAGCTCCACCTCATTACCCTAACCTACCCATAAGCTTAAATAGTCTTGATCTCGCGGGTGTGAGATTGCTGAGTCCTCGTGACTCACGGATACTTCCAAACGGTTGTAGGTGCCGATGATACCAGTGCAGGAGGCGCAACCAAGCTCAAGTGGGAGCTCGATGAAGATCTTGGTCGTTGTTATGTGTCTTTTTCGGTTTATCAATAGTGGAGCCCAGTAGGGACGATCGAGGATCTAGCATTTGGGGTTGTCTTCTTTTATTTTGGTTCCATAGTCGGACCTTGATTGTACTCTGGATGATGTATGAATTATTTATGTATTGTGTGAAGTGGCGATTGTAAGCCAACTCTTTATCCCTTTCTTATTCAGTACATGGGATGTGTGAAGATTACCCCTCTTGCGACAAGCCTACCATGCGGCTATGCCTCTAAGTCGTGTCCCGACACGTGGGAGATATAGCCGCATTGTGGGAGTTACCATCAAGCTACCAAAGCGGAACATCAAGTGCAAGATGACTTCAAGTGTGCCAAGTTCTCATCCAAGTCCTATGGTTTCTCCAACACCCAAGCTTCAATGTCCAACACCGTCTACCTCAACCAAGCCTTCTACAAGTAACGTCGACAAGTCAAGTTACAAGGAAGCTTCGACAACCTCAAGTCATCCTCCTACTACGAGCAACTTGAAGCCGAGAGCTTCATCATCATCTACCCCAACTGATGAGACCGTCAAGACAAGTTCCTTCAAATGCTTCACATGCGGAGGCCGAGGCCACAAGTCCTTTGAGTGTACCAACAAGCGGACTATGATCCTCAACGACGATGGTACATACGACTCCATGAGTGACGGAGAGACGGAAGCACTTGAGCAAGTCACCATACACCGGCAAGTGAACGATGAAGAGGAACAAGTCTTTTGTGATGAAGATTCAAGTCCCGCTCTTGTTGTCTCCAAGGTCTTGACTCTACAACATCACCAAGAAGAAGACCAAAGGTGCCACATATTCCATACCAAGGCCGGCATTAATGGAAGGTCCATCAAGGTCATCATCGATGGAGGGAGTTGTCATAACTTAGCAAGTGAAGAACTTTGCTCCAAGCTCCAATTACCCAGACGAAGCACCCACACCCCTACAAAGTTCAATGGCTAAGCGACTCCGGGACCATCTAAGTCGAGCATAGAGTGCAAATCTCCTTCAAAATCGTAGCTTATGAAGACACTTTGGAGTGTGATGTCGTTCCAATGACCATTTGCTACCTTCTTCTCGGACGACCATGGCAATTTTATAGAGGTGTCATCCACAACGGCCGAACGAACCACTATATCTTCAAGATGAAAGGAAAGGAGTATGTACTTCGCCCTATGTCGCCAAGCCAAGTGATCGCCGACAAGCAAGCCACCCATTGTGGAGAAAATAGTGAGAGAGCAAACCACCAAAAAGAGAGTGAGCGCCACAAGCCCAAATCGAGTGCCTCCATGATGAGCGAAAAGAAGAACTTAGTTCTATTTGCCACCAAAAGTGAGATAAGAGAAATGTGTGGGAACCCATCAAGTGTCCTACACTATGTCCTTTTGTGCAAGGACGAGGCACCAAAAGCTAACACCTCTCACACTCTACCTTTAGTGTTATCTTCTCTTTTGCAGGAATTCTAAGATGTTTTCCCCGACGAACTACCTCCGGGTCTACCTCCACTATGAGGCATCGAGCACCGCATCGACCTCATCCCCGGAGCACCACTTCCGAACAAAGCTCCCTACCGCATCAACCCCGAAGAAACCAAAGAAACACAAAGGCAAGTAAAACATCTCATAGACCATGGACATGTGCGTGAAAGTTTGAGTCCTTGTGCCGTTCCGGTCATTCCTATGCCAAAACGAGACAGTAGCTTTTGCATGTGTTCTGATTGTAGAACCATCAATGCTATCACCATTCTCTATAGGTACCCCATTCCACGCCTTGATGATATGCTAAATTAACTTAGTGGTGCCACTGTTTTTTTTCCAAAATTGATCTTAAAAGTGGTTACTATCAAATCCGCATACACGAGGGTGATGAATGGAAGACCGCTTTCAAAACAAAGTTTGGTTTGTATGAGTGGTTGGTCATGCCTATGGGTCTATCGGAAGCACTGGGTACTTTCATGCGCCTTATGAATTATGTGTTTCGCCCTTACATTGGTGAGTTTATTGTGGTCTACTTCGACGATATCCTTGTTTTTAGCAAATCTCTCAAAGATCATGTCACCCATGTCTGCGCCGTGTTGCAAACTCTTCGAAAAGAGCGCCTATATGCTAACATGGAAAATGCCTTTTTGGCATTGGTAAGCTCGTTTTCTTGGGTTTTGTTGTGTCCTCTAAGGGTGTTCATGTTGATGACTCTAAGATTAATGCTATTAAAACTTGGCCACAACCAACCAACTTACAACAAGTGTGTAGCTTTCTTGGTTTAGCCGGTTTCTACCATAGATTTGTGAAGGACTTTAGCACCATTGCTTCACCTCTGCATGCTTTGAGCAAGAAGAATGCACCCTTTGTTTGGGGACCATCCCAAGATAACGCATTAAATGAGCTTAAGAATTTTCTTACTCATGCTCCCATGCTTGCTTTACCCAACTTTGACAAACCCTTCAAGATTCATTGCGATGCTAGTGGTAATGGTATATGATGTGTGTTAACGCAAGATAAGCGCCCCATATCTTACTTTAGTGAGAAACTCTCCGGAGCACAACTCAATTACCCCATCTATGACAAAGAGCTCTATGCTTTAGTGCGAGTTTTGCGTGAATGGGAACATTATCTTCGCCCACATGAACTTGTCATTCATATCGATCATGAAACGCTTAAATACCTTAAGAGTCAAACTAAGTTGAACAAGCATCATGCTAAATGGTGTGAATTCATTGAGTCATTTCCTTATATCATCAAGTACATTAAAGGTAAGGAAAATGTTGTGGAGGA